ATAGTAGAGACAAAATACTGGAGGCCTTAGAAGACATGGTAACTAAACACAAAATAGGATAGGAAGGGGTGTTAGACATATACGATAAATATTAATCTCAGAGAAATAACTTTATATTTCCTGAAACACATTCATGGGTTTAAAGTAGGTTGGTGAGTTGATCAAATTTTAGCCATAGGAAAATAACCTATGTTGCAATCCAGAAAACAATTTAAAGGCAAGACTAGGAAAAACAAAAGCATTAGGAGATTATTATATCCACCCAGGAGGAAGATGCAAGTCAAATGAATGAAGACATTGACTATAAGGGTGAAATTACAAGTGCCAATATGAGTAGGTGACACAAAGTTCATTGAAACTTTTAAAATCTATGAACCACCATGGTGAGGGCATAAAGACAGGCAGCATATTGAAGTACATTAATTTTTTTCCCCATTAAATCTTATATTTCTGTGTTATCTTATTATTTATAATTGTCCATCACAGGCTTCTACCAGTTTCCTACAGAACTTCTCTTTTCCAAATTTTGTCATTCTACTTTTGGTTTTTAATTTGCTTCTATTATAACTGAAGAAAGCTTATTAAACAACGCATATACCAGGTTCTTTATAAAATAAGATAGCCTTACTCATTAGACTCTAGCCCAGAAAACAGGGGAAAGTCTTTTTTTCTTCTACTGATCTTCCCATATTTTTCAATCCACTTACCCATAAAAATCTTCTTGTTTACTTTTAATAGTGTAGCTGTTTTGGGGGGAATTTGAGGTATAAGAAATGAGCATAATGTATGTCAGTTTGTTGTTATGTACTTTATATATGTATAAATTATTTTTTCTAATTGTATTAGAAATGCCCTTATATTTTAACATGAGTTTTTGTTTGCTAAATAGATGAAATAATAGGATAATATTTGTTGACTAAAATATATACAAATGAAGTGGTAACAGAAACATGCTTGTTTAGTCAGATTAATTTTCCATCATCTGACTTTTTTATATGAATTCCAAAAATCAAGCAATAACTTGATGAAGTTGAACTCTGTGATAGTTTTGAAAATATTGATCTATGTTTGAAGATGTGGCTCAGTGGTAACATGCTTGAGGCCTTAGAGTTTGATCTTTAGCACCAAAGGAAAAAGAAAAAAGAATGTTATGAAAAAAATTTATCCATGTTTGTAAGTTATTTGAGATATATTTAATTGACTACCTAGATTATAATGATTTAAATTATCATTGTGATACAATCTCCTAAGGTGATATTTATAGCTATCATAAAATTTCTCTTATATGGTTTACCACTGTTGTATGTTATCATTCAACTACTAAACCATATTAGAAAATTATTATCACTGTGCTCATTATATACTTAATTGTGGGTATAGAAAGTAGCAATATATATTCATCCATCTCTGTCTACCTGTATCTACACATTTATTATGTATATATCTTTTTTCAAACCTTCAAACAAGATCTTGTTTTTCTCCTAAGATTTTTTTCTGGAAAGGCCTGCGTTCAACCCCTGGCAGAGCAATACAATAAAAAATAAAAAAAATAAAAAAAGAAAGAAAGAAAACGTTTTTCTTTAGTAACCAATTTTACTTTAGCAACTTTTTCTGATCAAGGATCTCAGAAAAAAGAAACCTTAGAGGTAAACAAATCCTCTTCCTAACTTGAGATACTGAGTCAGTGACATTGCACTTTTCATCAGACCTGGCACTCAGATCCCCAAGGTCTGCCTGCTGCACAATTCACATAAGTTCTTTGAAAGGAACAGGCTGTGAGATCACGGGTATGGTTCCAAAGTCCATACCTTGTGTTCCTAACGACCTGACCACAGGGCATCTATAAATTACTAATGATAATGGGCTAATTTAACATTTTTTCTCTTTCACCATTTTCTCTTTTATGAAAGGATATTCATTTAAGTTTATTATAATCTAAAAGTATTCAGGAAGACCATTATACAGGCCTCTGAAAATCAGGTGCCTCAGAGGTCTCTCCATGCCAGCCACAGGGCAGGCTATATGAAGAGCCCATGAGCGCAGTGGCTGATGAATTTCATGTGTTCTTTTAGCATGAGGAGGTCCATTTTATATTTTAATTCTTAATATTTTGAGACTGTTGGAATAATTCAAAAAGGGGAAAAATTGACTTTCTTCCTATGTGTATGTATGCATATATATTGTCATTTCCAATAATGACAGTTTTAGTTTGTTTTGTTTTGACCTACATTTTTTTTCTACTATGACTAAAAGACTTTAAAAGAACAATTTGGAGAAGAAAAGTTTGATGACTCATGATTTCAAAGGTCTCAGCCAAACCAATCCTCAAGGCTAGAGAGGAAGCAGAACAGTACGGAGGAAGAGTGTGATGGATGGAAGCAACTCAAAGCATCACACCAGAAAGCAGAGAGAGAGAGTCTAAGTTCAGCTCACCAAATAAATACCCCAAAGGCACACCCCCAGGGACAGACTTCCTCCAGCCAAACCCTACCAGCATAGAATTACCACTAGGTTAATCCCTATTAGAGAATTAATTTGCGAATTGGTTTAAGGCTTTCAAAACTCAATATTTCACCTCTAAAGTTTCTTGTATTGTCTTTTTTGGGGACATCTAATATTCAAGCCATAACAAACTACTTATTGATACTTAAAATATGTGCCAATATTTATTGATTTTTCCAAAACATTTTCCTTTCATAGTGTAAAATATACCTGTAAATATCTAATAGAAATAAATATTCAATTAAAACTTATATGTGAGTAGTTGATTGCACAGAGAGGTTAATTGTTTGGTTCAAGATAATAATTCCATTTTAAACTTTTCTATATTTTTATGAAATAAGCAAACATTATACCTACCTTTCCAAATGATGTTTGAGGACCTATTAAATTTTTTATAAGCATACATTTTGTCTATATTTTGGCATACTTGAACATTTTTTGTGCTCAGCACTAAAAGATATTTTTAAAAATTGAATTATAGAGAGTATTCTTAAAAATATTTACACATTATCATGAGACTACAACTTTGTGGTCAGAAATTTTAGTCTAAAAATTCCACACTTACAAAATACACAGATATGCAAATAAGTAGGTCTGAATAGATTTTTTTTTTAAAGAAAGTTTCATCTGACTCATAGAGGCTAACTGAACCTTGAAATGTGAAAATCTGAAATACATGAAACTGAGAAGCAAATTCAAATTTGCCCAGGGCAACTGATTAAATTTTTATGTTTTTTTTTTTGTTGTTGTTGTTGTTGTGTTTATTTGGTTGGGTTTTTGTTTCTAGATGATGAATGTGTACTTTTAGTGATCGATGGCATGACAAAATAATACTTACTGAAACTTACAGTCTGAATCTTGAATAAGTCAGACATGTAGACACTTTTGAAAATCTCATGTGATGTGCTATTGGCCTGCTTCTTTGGAGCCATTATTTTCTAGCCATATTCCAATCTCACTTGTGCATTAGATAAGAAAATTGTGAGGTTAGGTACAGTGTCCTAATCCATTTTCCATTTTTATGTTATAGCCCATGACTGAAAATAAAATACTCAGCAAATTGTAGAACAATTGACTTGGAAAGAAAATCACACAAAAACTTGAATGTTAATGAGTCTTTAAGAAAAATTGGGGCTGGGGATGTGGCTCAAGCGGTAGCTGGCTCACCTAGCATGCGTGAAGCACTGGTTTCGGTTCTCAGCACCACATAAAAATAAAGATGTTGTGTCCACCTAAAACTAAAAAATAAATATTATAAAAAAGAAAAATTACTTAACTTCAAATATTTTGCTAAGAATATTTTATTTACTCTGTCACTGCTGTCTTAATGAAATAGAAGGTTAAAAGAAGAGAGGTTGCAAATTTGGATTTTCATAAATTAAAGAAATCAAAAATTGAGATATGAAACAGAGGTGACATTTTTGAAATGGAGCTTGGAAGGTGAAAGGATTTAAACATCACTGATTGAAGTCACAAGTAGAGATAACATAAAAGATTGAATATGTGAAACAAGGACAATAGATTGATGGGACTTGAGGCCAAGGTAAAAATATGAGAAGACTTTTGGAAATTTAGGCCATGACCTTGAATGTCAGGCAAAGAAGTTTATCTTAAAATTGTTAGAGACAAAAAAAATCCATTAATTTTGAAGTAATTTGTAACATAGGCTAGTTTCTATGTATTTGATTAAATTGTACATTAACCTTATATTTAAATATTATTTGGAATATAATGGTTGTGTTCTCCTGTACTATTAACTGAGGGGAAATGAGCTCAAGTTTTCAGTACAGGCAGACTTTCTTGCCTTTATACTCTTCTTTTCAGAAAAGTAGTGCTTCTGAATATATTTTTAAGAAGAAGTTATTATAAGACCCTTATTGCCTTCTGATTAAATTGTTTGTATCTTCTTTCTTGGGGGAATAGATGTGCTTTTGTTTTACCACCAACTTCTTGCAATTCAGAGCCACTTTTTATTTTAAACACTTCCACTTAATCAAAAAATAAATAACAACAAATTAAATGGGCTTCTTCAAATCTTGGTGACTCCGACTCCTAAGTATGAATTTTATTTTGCTTCAGTTAAAGAGGTGTTAGGCAGACCAAGATCTGTTCCCCTTAGGATATGGAATAGTCTTTGGATCATATTTTTAAAAATCTCTTCAAGACCACTGTTTGAGGAATAAAAAGTGATTGGTTCAATTCCAAGCCACTCTGACATGGAATTGAATGGAACCTTATTTCTCAAACTAAGACAAAACAGAATAAGGTCATTCCTGAATCAAGGTAGGTACCATTTTTCTCAGCATTATTTTACAGACTATTTTCTCAGATACTGATATGGAGTTAAAAGAAAAACAAAGGCAATTCCCAATCTCATGATCATGACACCTTATTAGTACTTGTATGACTGTACCAGAAGCTGAAGGTCTCACAGAATGAACTATATGTAAACAACCCAAGAAATGTGTACAATAACAGCAAGTCTACTTCAAATTTACCTTCTTGGAGTTTTCATGATTTAATTTTCTTTGCTCTGTCCCAGTCTGCACATTATCTGCATTTGGTTCCTGGATATTGATACTCCAGTGAGGTTCACCGCTGACCCCAGCAAGACAAGTTCCAGTCTCTGCACTCTGTCCATCAATAATTTCCCTCCTCCTTTGCCACTTCAGCTTTCATCTGCCCTGAAGCCAGCGTTTACCAGGCATGAAAAAGTGACTCTCCTTCTCAGTTATGACAGGCAGAAAAGCTGCCGCTTACACTGAGTGCACTTTTGAGTCCGTGGAGAAAAGTAAGGGGAATTCAAGTGAGGGGAAATCCTTCATGCACTTTGCTGCTAACTTAGATGACTGTTTATCCATCGTCTTCACAGCTGTGGCCTTTTCAAGTAAGTGCATTTAAGAAAAATAGTAAACTAAATCCAGATGGTCAAATACATTTTGTCATTTTATTCTCTGTTTTCTTTTTTCTTGTCCATTACGTTTTTAAAATTTACCATGGGAATAAAATTGATCTCTGACAACACCCAGAAGTTAAAATTTTATTCTTCTTATTATAAATTCTCCATTAGGTCTGGTTCTTGTGTAATCTTGCAAAAGAGTTACAGTCCAAAGAGGCTATCTTATTATTGGGGATAATCATATATCTCCTTTACGGGTTATCTTCCATTTCTTTCCTGGAGATAATACCAATATAACTTTGAAATATTCTACAGTAGAAGCTGCTGTTACTCTACATTGTGTAATGAAAAATTCTATTTACACTGGTCTATCTATCTATTATATACTCAGCAACTGCTTGTTGGAAGTTTAACTGAGTTTGCTGATATTCTTTCTTTAATGTTCAGAGGAAAATAATGGGTGGGCGTTAAATATGGAAGGAAAGATAGTTTAGTGTCACCCAAATGACTGAGTTTTGTTTCACTGCTGTCCATGTCTATGTTTCAGCACAGGAGATCGTATAATACAATGAAAGGTACCCAGGCCTTATAATTAAGACAATTGATTTTTGACTCCTGAATCTCCCACCACAATTCCCATCAGGCAAGACATTTTGCTTCTTTATACTTCAGAGAATTCATGAAAGTCTTGGCCATCTCAAAGGCCTTTCTGAGAACATTTTTTTCCAGCATGACAAACACTTAGAGTGTAATGAATTCTTGCTCAGGAATAGAATGGATGTGATGGGGTTCAAAACACACTGCCTCAAAATATGGCTCCTTGGCATATTGAGCATTTAGGCTGAAGGTATTGGAGAAAACAGCAGAAGCCAGAAGGTCTCTCTGACATTTGAATGCCACTGTCTCCTCAAGCAGGTCATAGAAGAATTCTCTGACACTTTTCTAAAGTAGGCTATGAAACCTTCTTTCCAGATGGTTCCTACCTATACCCAAAGAAATAGAATGAAGGCACAGAGAAGGACCTGCAAAAAGAGGCATTGGCATTTCTAAGTTCTCCAGTTCTCACACTTGGTCCCACCCTTTTGTCCTCTAATCACATTACTGCATGGCTGACCATAAAGACAGTTTTGCCTGTTTCTTTGGGGTTTCATTTCTGAAGGCTCCCAGGTCTCAGCCGTGATATTGTAGTGGGTGAAGAAAAGATATTTTCTTTCTTCTGTACAGATCATTAGAAGATAGAGGTTAAATAACTTGAGATAAGATTTTACATATTAAAAAATTCTATGTGAAAAAAATGAAATGGACCTGACAAGAACTATATTTTTATGAAATCTGGCTCTAGCAATCAGTAGAAATTTTGCATGGGATTACTAGATGGTTGAATTGATTTGTCATCCAAAGGGGGAAAATCATGTGTTATATATAATTTGTCAGTGAGAGTAAAATATACAGCGCTAATTGAAAAGATGAATATTTTGGAAACAACCTTTTGGATGTCAACAAGGATAGATATTTGTGATAATTCATTTTATGGGGCCCTGAGCTACCCATCGCTAGAGCATTATTTTAGATATGTCTGAAGAAGTGTTTCTTTGATGATATTAATATTAGATTGAATGCATTAATAACTCAGAAAGACTGACCCTTCCCTGAGAAAGAGAGAATTCTTGTTGTCTGATGGCCCTTAGACTGGAATATCAGTTCTTTCTTGTTTTCATATTAGAATTAAAAACATCATCTCTTACAGGATATTGAACCTAATGTTCTTCAGTCTGAAATTGTACCATTGGTTTTCCTGGGTGCCCAGCTTAATTGAGTCACCCTGCAGAGTTTAGTACTTGTCAGATTCCATAATTGCCACACGCACATATGTGAAAGTTTACACATGTGTGCAAGTGTGTACACACATACAATTCTGTATATGTGTAGATACATAGGTAAATAGATTCTTTTTCTATGTAGAAGATTCACTAGTTCTATGATTAAGGATCATTTACACAAATAAAAAGAAGACACTCATATATATTTTTTAACATCTCTAGGGTTAATATATATTGACAAGAACCACAAAAAGTAGAGTTTGTACAACTTATTATGGCTTCCCCTTGATTCCTTATAGAAACTTTTAGGCCTCTTGGATTTCTTCACAACCCAGACAAAATATATGAGAAAGAGAGCAAATCACAACCACGTACTGGCAATGTTGAGTCACTGCTGTGGTCAGTGTTCAACATACCTATTGTGTTATGACAAAAGGACAATGAAGGTTGATTATCCCATTATCCCTCATCAGGTCACCCAGCTGAATAGACAATTAGGTATGAATGTTCAGCTTGCCTTTTGCATTTAGGTTGTGTTATAAAGCTTGCTGAGAAACACAACTGCACAGAACAAAAATGAGTCAGAGCCTAAGCAGGAATATATCACTTAATGTTTAGAAATCCTAGGATGTGTTCTAAATAAATATTAATAAAGAACAAAATAACAACTATTCTTTACTTTTTTTAAAGATACAAGGAAATCATATTTGGGAGAAGAAGGAATAAGGAAGCAGTGGTAGGGAAAACATTTTACAACATTTGTTGTGAAATATCATGGTGTACATCTTGGATCATTGAATAAGAAGTAACATAAGATTTTTCTTTTTTCTTCTCCCTTGTTCTTCCTTGGTACTGAAAATGGTATAGGAAGAAGGAAATATTTTGCAGTATGCTCACTCACTATAATGACAGCAATGTTGTTTTAAAATTGCTGTGGGACACCTAAAATTTTTGAAAAATAGAAGTCCATGTTTTTTCATGTTAAATGGACACCTCTATATTGGAGCCTAATCAGCATATCAACCAACTAGAGGTTGTATATGCTGTAATGTTTTGCTGTCACAATATTGATGTAGAAATTTAGGCCCTGGCTTAAAACACAATTCAGAAAAATTATCTGGAATACTGATGTTTTAGAAAGAGGTCTTGAACTATTGCTGGATTAAGGTAAGAATCAACATATGGAAAATGAGAAGTAAAGAAACATAAATTTATTAAAATTTCAAAATCATGATTTATCCAGGAATAAAATCAGCTAAATGTAACCCTAGCTGTCATGACAGCCATGCACAGCTGGTATACTTTGAAAACATGCTGTGGCACTGTCACCAGGAATTCAATAAGTGGTGCTGACATATTTCCTGGAAAATGTGGATGCACACAATTAAAGTATAAAGGAACAGATTCAGCTCAAGAGCCATGAACATATCTGGAACTAATGATCATTTAGGTTATAACATTGGATATAATGGTCAGTGTTGGATGTGTCACATGGTACAGCTCATCAGCCATGGCAGACCAAGACATAGGAACTTGAATGTGGAGTCAGTAAATTCCAGTGCTGCCAAGAAAGGAGACACCCGAGCTCTGATCATTTTACTAGAATACTTCATGCATGACTCCTTTGTTTCAGTTTACTTAATGAGTGGTTCACAAGTACTAAGTAGAACATAATGAGCGTTTAAGCACTTGTTTAGAATTATTTAGTACAAAAAGTCATTTCAAGGATTGTCTCATGGTTTCAAGTATTATTCACTACCCCGAAACACACAAACACACACACACACACATACACACAAGCACACACACACACAGAGGTTACTTATCAATCATGAAGGAGAAAACTAGACTAACAAGCAGGAAGTTAACAAAGTGATCCACCTTCACACCAGTGAACAGTGAGACAAACCAGAATTCTGATGTGTGTTAACACTGATGTGATGCAAAAACAAATCACATTATCATCTATTATTATTCTTAGTGAAGTATTTAAACATAAGAAAACAATTAAAACATATTGCTAAATATCTTACAATAATTGTCCCAAACAAGCAAATAGATCTAGAATGTTGAATATACTGCAATGCAATTGAACTAAACTCTTAAAAATACCAGTGTCATAAAGGAAAAAAAAAAAGGTATGAGGACCCTTGCAGATTCAAGGGGAGTAAAAACACATTACAATAATACAAAATGCACAATATTGTTTGCTTAAATTCTAAATGGAAAGTAAAAGAAATGTAATGATATTTGGGGCATGATTGGATACACTTGACTATGGAAATTAGAAAATATTTTTGAACAATGTTAAATTTATGGAGTGTAAAACCAGATAATATGAAAAAGACCCAGCTGTGATATAATCAGAAGAAAGACCACCATGGGGGTTGATGTTGATGGTGAAGCACATTATGGTCACAAACCTCCCTCATGCAGAAAGCTCTGTGACCAGTCTCTGCTATTGTTGGAATATTTTCTGCTGCCTCCATTTGGAGGAAAAACAGGATTTTTTTTTTTTTTTGCTTCAAAAAGAGGACAATGTCTAGGCCTTTATGTCCATACATTTTGGAGTGCTCTTTTAAGTGACAAGGAGAAACCATGAATTTAAAAATTTAGGTAAAATGTTTAATATTTCCTGATAACAAGAAACAAAAATTTTAAAAATTACAACTCACACAAATTTATGTTCATATACTATTCTCTTAAGTTACATTAACTTAATTTGGACTGTGTAAGAAAAGTACATTCAGAAAAATATACTAAGGAACAGTACCTGTAAAGAGGGTGGTAAATACAGAGAGAGAGAGAGAGAGAGAGAGAGAGAGAGAGAGAGAGAGAGAGAGAGAGAGAGACCTGTGGTGTTCTGCAACGGAGGTCATGGTGGCATCCACCAGAAATTGAAACTGAAATGGTCCTCTGGCACTGTGTCTGTGTCATGCAAGGGGCAAAGGAAGCAAGACTTTGTACCCCACTGGTCATCTTATTTGGATGTGGGCTGCCCAAAGAAGGGGACATAATCTTGAGGAGGGGAGCTGCTGAGCATTTCCTAGAAGGTGT